TTGATGACTGGCAGAAGCAATCCCCATGTAGCCATGGGGCACTTTGATCGGAAGCCTTTTGTTCGTCTGCCAGGCGCTTGTTGTCGCCAGGAATACCGCTTCCCAGTTCGATAGAAGAATGGGATAGCAATATGATAACAGACTCGGGCCCGCTGTTATAAGTTGCTGCTACTTGTTATGGTAATCTTATCTGATGCTGAGCTAACCTTAGTTTCTCACTAACGCATTTATCTGATTCGTCTAGGTGCGCACAAGTGGCTTGACCTCGAAATAACGCTATACCCGGAACAGTCAAGCACCACGCGCTGCAAAACAGACTCAGCCTCCCCCCGACTCTCAGAGATGTCTTCGCCGTTTGCTGAAACCCAGGCCAATCCATTCAGACAGACCTGACCCAACGCGACGAGCATCCATTGCAGTTTATCGCAAACCCACTGCAAACGCGCTCTCACTCTTTGGCTTAGGTAAGGCTATCCTTTTTCTATTGAATCTCAGCATCATTTTATGTATCAGTAGAATCTCCGCGCCAAGTGGACGATGGAATGAGATAGATAGAGTTGTACGCTGTCGCTTCTCCTCGCTTCGCTTCACTTTTGCCTGCCCATTCGCATCCACTATTTCTCTTGTCTTCCCTTTCCCGTTGGTCACTCAACGAGCGCCAGGTTTCATTGGCTAGTCGAAGTCGCCTGCGCTTGGTTTGGTCTCAGTGCTGCGCGTCCTTGCCTTCCCGAGCACCACCTCCCATGGTCCTGGTGCTGCTACTCCGTACTGCTGATGGAGACCCGCCCAGCGAAAAAAAATTCTCCCTCACTGGCTGGCTCAGCTCGCCCATCACCCTGCTCTCCACTGTTGGCGGCGTCGCTTGCTGGGTTGCCTGCTGAAAATGTGGCTGCGCTACAGTGCTGTCCAGTCTGTTGTCCGCTGCCCATCCGTTTGCTCTCTTGCTCCCGTCGCGCGGCTTTCGCTTTCTCCCTCTACCTTTCCATCCATTCTCACCCGACCCGTCATTCCCATCTATCATCTGCCGCTTGATTGAAGCGCGTCGCCCTGCACCGACCACCGTGCCAACCAATCCAATCTGGGCGTTTTTTTATTTCCCACTTTCCTGTCCCCTTTGCCTATGCCCATTCCCAGTACCGGCAGGCTGACACAAGGTCTTCTCGCTGGTCTGGCTCTGGTTCGGTCTGGTCTCTCGCACTACACTGCTCTCCACCAAACCCACGCCGTGACGCGACTTGTCCCATCACCACCGTGTCACTGCCTCATCTCCCACTCATCGCTTCCTATCTCAGCCTTTCGTCATTGTATCCTCGTCTTCTTGGCGCTCCTCCATGGACGCTTTTCGCGTGCCTGCTGATCGCTAACTCCGTCGCGCATAGCCTGTTGGGTCGATCGCCATGAGCACCTGGATGAACGACGCCGTCCCAAACCACAATGGCAACGGCTTTCCACACATGAACGACTCTAACGCTGCCGGTAACATGATGGATCCTTCCGCTTTCATGGCCAATCCGGCTCAATTCAATCCTGCTCAGTTTAATCAGCAAATGGGCGGCGCCATGGCTAATGGCCCTGGCTCCATGCGCAATGCTTCACCTTCTTTTCAGAATCCTGTATACCAGACCAATTCCGTTATTCCATCGAAGCGGCCTCGCCCTCGTGAGGATAGTCTCGCTGGCTCTCCTAGCCAAAATCCCGGAATGCTCCCAACGTCGCGCTCAGAGACGCCGCAGCAACAGCCATTTGCTGGAGGCTTCCAACCCGGCGCGGTTCAGCAAAACCCTGGCCAATTTTCTCATCTTCAACCTAATGGTTCCGCCAATGCGAGCCCCTCCCCGATAATGAGCAACCAAATGCGACCGGGAAGTGTTCCTCAACGGGTCGCGACCGCGTCACCACACCCATTCTCTCCCAGTGGCCAGCAATTCAACCCTCAGACATCACCGATACCGTCCGAACATGGCACTCCTCAGCCGAACCCTTATATGCAAAACATGGCTCAAGGTTTCAACCCAAACTTTGCTCCATCACCTTCGAACACGCGACCTTCACCAAATCCGAATGCGATGTCTGGCAACCAAATGATGGCGCAGCAGATGGGTCAAATGCCACAACACATGGGCCAGATGCAAGGCAATATGTTCCCCCCTCAAATGCAGCAGGGCCAACAACAACAAGGCACACCACAACAACAAGGCCAGCAGCAACAAGGGCAGCAAACCCCTCAACGCCCGGGCATGATGGATGCGCAGAAGATGGCCGCCTATCAGATGAGATTGCAACAACAACTGCAAGGCAATACTCAAATTCAAGCACAGATGCAGGCACAAAATATGGGCCGTGGTGTGATGCCTAATAAGCCAGTACCTGGAATGCCTAATGGACAGATGCAACAAGGAGGCATGAGGCCTCAGCAGAGGATGATGGCTAACGTGAATCCTGAACAATTTATGAAGAATCTTACGACACTAATGAACTCAAAAGGCTTGCAATTGGATCCTAATCCCATGGTGATGGACCGACCAGTTAATCTCATGATGTTGTTTCAAGCGGTTCAGACTAAGGGAGGTTACAAGCAGGCAACTACGACGCCTAACGGCTGGCCCCATGTTGCTCAAATGCTTAGCCTGCCACCCCAGAATCCTATTGTTCTGCAGACATTGAGGACGATCTATGAACGCAACCTTTATAAGTTCGAGGAAGTGTGGATTGCTCAACAGCAGAAGCAAAGGATGATGCAACAGCAACAACAGCAATCGCAGCAACAGTCCCAACAGCAACCACAACAGCCACAAACTCCAGGCACACTCATGGGACAGGCTACTCCACAAAAGCAGATGCAACATGGACAACAAATGACCCCTGGTGCCATGGGCCAATCTGGGCCCCCAGCTCAAATGCAACAAACTCCCATGAAGCAAATGCAGCCAGGACAGCCTCCAGTTAACGGATTTTCCACACCCCAGCCTCAGATGCAGCCACAGCCTCCAGTTATGCCAGGCCAAAATCGCACATTATCACAAACGATCGACGTTTCTGCTGTGCCGGAGTTCCCGGGAGCTCCCTCTCCAGCAACCCGCAGAGCTGGAAGCATGTCACAAAATGAAGGGCGTCAGGCCTCAGCAGCACCTGTGGTTGTGGAAAAAATGCCCAGGCTCGCACCTCAAACTGACGAGTACAGCCCCTGTGCCAGGGAGCTATCAACATTTGGCGGTGTTGATTTGAATGCGTTTAGCAAACTTGGAGCGGAATTGGAACGCTGGAAACCCGACGTACCTCCTCTTCAGGAGCTGGGGAACATCGATATCGGTGCTCTTACTAAGAGTTTGCAGAGCGGGATTCATGGCGAGACGCGCCTAGCCCTTGACGTACTGGCAGCTGCATCGTGCTCCATGAACCAATTGCATTTTATTCAGCTTCGGTACTGCGACGAGCTGATAGAGGCTCTTATCGAATGTGCCGAGGATCAAGTGGAGATGCTGGCTGAGCATACAGCCGAAGTCTCCGATGAGATTCAAATATCACCATACGAAGACGTCTTGAGGGCCTGTCGTCTTGAAAGGTTTAATATCCGGGATCTGCCTGTGTTTGGGACTCAGGAGTATGAGCTCGACCGGGCCGTTGACCGTCTAATATGCGTCACAACTATCCTTCGAAACCTTTCGTTCCCTGGCGAACAGAACGATAATCATTCTGTACTTGCCGATGAGATTGTTATCAAATTTGTCTGTGCTGTTATAAGATACCTCGGTACCCGAACTATGCTTCTTCGATCACACAACAATACTCTCGATTTCATGAAGGATGTTGTAATTTTGCTCTCCAATATCGCAGGGTCTGTAGAGATACCTGGACGCGAACAGGCTCTCTGCCTCTTGCAGTTTCTCCTGGCATTTGCCCCAGCGCCCAATCCTACAGTCTCAGATGGAACCTTATTCTTTACGCAATACGAACCAAGCTTGCACGCCTACCTGCCACATGCTGTCGATGCACTTGCTAAGCTACTGGCTCGTGATGAACCCAATCGGGGTCATTACAAAGCTGTCTTCGCACTCGACTCGAACAGCAGCCCTCCTTATGAGTTGCTTACTCGTGCCTTTGGCTTGGCCATAGCACCAATACCGGATAAAGCCAAGACACAGACGAGACAACCTAACCTCCCATCCCTCGTGGAAGTTCGAAAGCCGTTCTTGATGCAAGGGCTTCTTTCTGCTGAAATCTTGGCTTCACTTGCTCCGGGTCACGACAGTGGAGTCGCACAATCTTGGCTATCATCTGGCAATGATTTCGCCCAGAATCTATTCAGGCTTATCCGGGAGCTCAGTCAACTGTACGAGCAACCCCAAGTTCAAGGTCCCCGAACAGCACCCCGAAAAGACCCTGAGCTGGTGTATATCGTTGTTGTTGCAGTTGCTCTATTAAGACGACTTGCTGAGAAGGCCAGAGATCCCAACGATCCAACGTCATCCATACCCGTCAAAGCTATGCCAGCACCTCATGCTTTGCTTGAAGCGTTGTCAATGCAATCTGCTGAGTGGTCAAAGGATGAAGTACTGCAAAAACTTTCAACCTTTTTTGCTCTTGGGAGGTGATAGTCGCATCGGGATTTTATTTTTGGATCAAAATCTATAGCATTACCGCATCTTCAAGCTTGTATGTTAGTGTTTTGAGAAACATGGGATTGGTGTCTTGTCATTTGAAGCGTGCGCTTCTCGTTTAGACTTGCATTCTGGAGTCGATGGTTTGGGGACAAGACAGGTGATGATGAAACTGCTTGTCTATCTACAGGTGTATAAAGGAAGTTGGAATGGTGAACAAATCCAGACATTAGGGACAAACAAAAATATGCTTCTATGATGCGCTCGCAGTACTACATGTATTGTACATCTTGTGTCGCCCCTGATGGTGACTGGTCAATATGATACAGTTTTGATTCCTCTTATATGTTTGGTCAGGGATAAGACCTGGCTAATCCGTATACATCACTCATGGCCGGCTCTTCAAAAGCCGGTCTTCAGGATCCACTCAACTACCTTATCGTAGACATGACCCTGGAACAATTAGTTGTCTGTCAAGAGCTCCAATGTTGGAATTGCTTACCTTGATCTCCACGTGTTGTGTTGTAGGATTCAATCGAATATCCACTGGCTTAATCTCCAAGTCCCTAGACAAATCCTGGATAAACTTGGAGCGGTCTCCATCAATCTTTTTAATGATAACGATCATGCGGTTGCCACCGGACATCCACTTGCGGTATACAGGTAGTTGGGAGGATGGCGTCCGTCGAACAACGTAGCGAAGGGTTGCGCCGAGTTTGTCGAGGTTTTTGATTGCTGCTGGAGGGACGAATGGTTGCTTGAGTTGACGATCCTTGTATGGAATTTTGTTCTTCCTATTGGGGTTGACCGGGTGTTGGAGAGGATTGGGCTTGTATGAGACGTGTGTTTTGAAGGTATTCGTTGAAGATGTGGCAGCCGCGGAGTAAGGCGCTCGTTGTGTGAAGAGGGCTGGCCTCTGGGCAATGACCTGGCGTCCTATCGAGAGGACTCTAGAGGTGAAGAAATTCATCGTGCGGCCGGGTATTGGAAAGACTGTAGGATAGAGCTGTTTTCCGTCGCAGGGTTCTTCGCTTTGGCGATACCGCGGATCGAGAGACCCGAAAGAGATACGTAACGTAATGCCCAAAACACAATCTCAATTGATTTCGCTCATTACCTCTTGAACATACCACACTCTGTCTGTCGGTGCACTCTAAACATACCAGAAGGCTTGCCGCTGATGGAAAATCTCAAGATCACATGACTCCTTATCTCTAATCGTCGGTAAATTCACGGTCGGTGCGATAAGCTGAAACCCCACACCACGGAGTGGATTGGCGAAATTCACCAAAAATCTGAGGTGTTCGTGCCCCTCCATCAAACCCATCATCACGACCTTTGCGGCGAGTCACTTTTCTGCCCTCTCCGACCGAACCCTCGTCCGACCGATTTCTACCGACCCCCTCTCCTCAAAGACATCACCAAATATGGAGGACGTTCTCAACGCCGTCTCGGCCGACGGCTCGTCGATCATGCCCCGCCTTGCACCAAACCTGAGCCGACATCTTCTCTTTCCTCTGATCCAGTTCGAGAGTGAGAGAGCCGAGGAACAAGGCCAGGATGCCAAGGCAAAGGAGATTCTTTCCGGAAAGATTAAGCTCCTCGAGGACACAAACATGACCGATTACGTTGCGACTCTCTACTGCGAGCTTCACGGTGTATCAGAGGCCCCAGAGCAGTACAACAAGAAGAGACAGGATGTGCTTTCACAGCTGGAGAACTACGAGCAAGCTACCGCCAAGATCGCCGATCTCCTGACCCAGGATGAGGTCGTCAACGGACTCCGAAGCGACAAGGTTGCCAACTTGGAGTTCCTCAAGAACCAGCACGGAGTAAGCAGCTGAGAGCTTTCTACTCGCCAAGGTCAAAGATATCTAACAGGCTTTTCACCAGGTCACCATGGAAATGGTCAACGCTCTCTACGACTTTGGTCAGTTTCAGTTCCGATGCGGCCAATACGGTCCCGCTGCCGATATGCTCTACCAATTCCGAGTCCTTTCCACCGATAACGATAAGGTCTCTGCTGCCACCTGGGGCAAGCTTGCCTCCGAGATCCTCCAGACCAACTGGGAGTCTGCTGTCGACGAACTCAAGAACGTTAGGGAAAACATTGATTCTAAGCTCTTCAACAACCCCCGTGCCCAACTCGACCACCGAACGATGTTGCTCCATTGGTCTCTTTTCCCTCTCTTCAACTGGGAGGGTGCCAGGGAACCTATCCTGGACATGTTCTTTTCTGCACCTTACATCAACACCATCCAGACCTCCTGCCCCTGGATCTTGCGATATCTGATCGCCGCCGTTATCACCGGCCGTGGCCGTGCTCGCAACAGCTCCATCCAACAAAAGCAAATCAAGGACATTATCCGTTATGTCCGACAAGAAGCTTATGAGTATACCGACCCGATTACACAGTTTGTCAACGCCCTCTACATCGCCCACGACTTTGAGGCTGCCCGCGAGGCCCTCTCCATGGCCGCCGAGGTCTGCCGCAGCGACTTCTTCCTTGCTTCTTCCGCCGATGCCTTTGTCGATGCTGCCCGGCACCTCATCTGTGAGAGCTACTGCAAGATCTTCAGCCGAATGAACATTCGCGACCTTAGCGCCAAGCTCGGCCTGAACCCCGACGATGGTGAGAAGTGGATTGTCAACCTGATCCGTGAGACTCGATTGGACGCCAAGATCGACAGTCAAGATGGCACCGTCGTGATGAACCACCCTCCTAACAACGTCTACCAGCAAGTTATTGAGAAGACTAAGGGTGGTTTCTTCAGAACACAAGTCCTCAACGCCGCTGTTTCAAAGTAGAGACCATCGCTAGTTGCGAATGATCTTTATATGAGTATTTTCTTTTTTGCAACGGCTCAAAAGGGGCGATGCAATTCAAAGCGAGGGACAAGATACTTCGATCAAAGGGATGCCCCCTCCGCTACCGGGAGAAACAAGACATGGCCCCTTTAGTTTAGAAGGAGGCTGGTCTTTGCAGAGGATGAGCAGGATATAGCAAAGCATAAGACGGGGAGACAGTGATATAGAAGCGAGGCAAAAATGACAAACACGGGCTACATGGAAGAAGTGGCGGTTTTAGAGGCCCTGTATATCCCCGGCGATGCGGTTTGCATTGCATGGCGTTCTCGGAAAAGGGAAGAGGCAAAGGGGATAATGGAATTTAAGTTGATTGTTGAAATGAAAGCAAGCACTCCCATCAGCTGGGACGTATTATTTCTGTGAAGACCCTCGTATATGGTCTAAAGCCATGAAGCTCTTCTTATCACGAGCTAGATTTTTGTCTATCGTTATTCTCGTAGCTCATAACAACATCTGTTGTTTTCCTCTACAATGCCTGATTCATAACTATGCTTGCTGTACGTGCGTGTTGCATCACCGCAGCCAGCTGTCAATGCTCGCCTTCACGGCTTGCAAGCCACACCATGCCCTTCAGGTTCTCGATGACACTGTCTCGCATCCACCAAACACCCCCATCTTCCCCTGTAGCATCTTGGTCATCTTCCCTTTCGACTTCACGGCGTACGTGTGAATCTGTGATGGTCTCTTGACTGTCGAACATGTTGGTGTCTCGTAGTCGATCACGTACAGACGCCCATTCGAACAGCAACCTGGCTCCCTCCAGACGCTCTCGATCTGTGCCTTCAGCAATGCCTTTTGCCATCTCCAGTCTTGCATCAACAGCACTGCTTGAGTGCTGAGTGTCATCACCTCGCTCGAGCACTACGGCTCGCTCGGCGTAACTAATACCACGCAGACCCTCCAGTCCAAAGACCCATTCCAGAGGGTCTTTACCCTTTTCATCCCTACCAAGTGCCCGAAGAGTTGAAGCAAACGCTCCCTCGCGCGGTGGGCGCCTACGGAGGTACATGCTCTGGGTGTTTTGGAAAGCAGCTCTAACCTCTGGGTTAGAGAAGTCAAGCTCCACATCCCAGAACTGGGGTCCACACGTGGTTGATAGACTAGCAATCTGGTCTATTGGTGGAAGGATGCAAGGAGCCGTGCGATTCAGAACCGGCTCAGCAGAGGTGTTCCTGCGCATCTTGATTTGGACAGGAACAGTGACTGGTTGACCGGTGAGAACATCTTTTGTGACCAGACACCGCTGCTCTGTAGCTAGAACCCAGAAATGGCGAAGAGCTTGGAGATGGGATCGATTATCCATAACACTCGTAGGGAAAATGGGGTAAAATGCAACCAATAGAGAAGCAATAGCTAGGTTGCTGGTGCCAAAAGTTGCCGTTCCGCATCCCAAGAACAAAGCGCCGATCGCGAGATGAGCCGCAAGGTGAGAACCATAGGGTGTCTCGGGATCATCACGACCATGAAGTGCACGAAGACGACGTAGAACAGGAATATCACCTGTTCCGGCCATGACAATGGACGCAGATATGGCAACGATGTCTTGACACATGCGTGCATTGGTCCGTGTTAGTTCTTCATCATATGGTGGAGTACCATTTGGATGCATGCTTGCAGTGGATGGTATCTGTGCAATACGCATGAACTGATCCAAATAATAAAGCAGAAGATCCCGAACTTTAGGAGATGCGCTGCCAGAGAAGCGCAGTGCAATAGAGAAGCAGAGACCAGCCACTATGCTGTGGAATGCCATATCAGTTGACTGCAGTTTTGTCGTTGACTGTAGCTTGAACTGGGAACGATAAGGGCGCGGTAGGTTCTTACGAATCCAGGCAAATGTTGGCTCAATCTTTGACCACATGATTAGGTTCTTCGTCAAGGTCCTCAAGAGAAGAATATCAGGACGAATGTAGTCGAATTGCAAGACCGAGTTGGGTATGTCGATCTTGCGCGCGACGATCTGATCTTCTGACTTCATGTAGATGAGAGCCAAGGCCATGACAGCGCCAGCAGCTGCTCGGTCCAGAATATGAACTATTTCAATGTTTTTGGTTGTTGTAGCATGAGAAATGAGTTTCTCTGTGAGTCTCATGTCATGCAATCCCTTAAGATCATTGCCCTTGCCTAGGTTGATAAATCCGAGAGCAAACCCAGCTGCCAATCGGTAGCATTCGCTTCTCAGGGGCTCTTCTTCGTCCTCTTCGTCAATATGCTCAATCTCAGAGAGCATAATCTCACTCATTCGCCGGTGTTGACTGTTGGCGTATAGTAAACCAATGCCCATTATACCCGAAGTCTGCGTTAGGGGAGACAGATTCAATTCTGCTGCTCCACGAGGCAACATCCTCGTGGCATGAACGGAAAGCAGACGAGTAATCAGCGAATCCATCGTACCCATGTAAGATGCTGCCAGACCTAGAAGTAACCCGATGGAGGTCATTGTATGTTTTGGTGTCAGATATTTGAACGCAACCCATTTTGCGACGTCTTTCAAATGGCCGTTCAGGCCAAGCGCAAGGAGAAAACCAGCATGTCGATTGTTGAGATCTTGGCCAGGTTTGTTGTAAAGAATCCATGATGTGTCGATACCTTGAGCCTGGGGAGAAATGGCTAACCCAGCTGCGACTCCCTGATGAAAGAAGCCCCAGCAAACCTTCTCTTCCGAGAACAGTGATTTGTCTACACCCACAGTGGTGTTTGTTGGTTTTACAACGCAATTGAGGTTAAATCCACCAATATGAAATTTCTGTGTGATCAGAGGATAGCGAAGACTATAGTATAGCAAAGCCCTGCCTGCAGGAATTGCCAAAGTGCCTGTTGCAATTCTTGTAACGAGCTCCTTTTGCTTCTCAAGATATTCGCTCTCTGGCCAACTTGGGTGGGGGTCGAGTCGAACCAGTCTTGCCTTGTGGGTGGAAAGTAAATCTTGAGCTTCGTTAAGGCGGCGATCTTCTTTGAACAAGGAGCGAATAATGGCTTGACGTTCTGTCCCTTCACCTTCATCGTACCCAATATTGTTTGATTCATCAACACTCTGACAAAGCAGTTTGTAATCCCAAGTTGCATTGTGTGTCGGCGTCTATTGCTTGTAAGTGATGGTCCATGACAACTAGGTTGAGATCTTACTAGAATCTTGGAAGCGCTTGGCTTAGCTTGCTTCCCAGGAGCGAGAATGAGACTGATATCCCGGCGGTCAACCAATTCGAGGAGATCCTTGGACCAGGAGGTCGGTGGGTGCGGTTGGCACAGTGAAATGGCATCACGTAAAGGTGTAAGAATGGCCTCCGGGAGGGTATCAAGAATTAATGATGTAATTCCGGCATCCCTCATAGCTTCCACCATCTGTACGGCACTCGTGCTGGGTTTCATAAATTTGAAAAACTGCTTAAACACAAGCGTTCTAGGGAGAATAGACTCCCATCGCCTGTCCTGTGACTTTTCCGCCTCAGACAATTGAGAGCCAGCATAATAAACATCCGCTGGGGTGATGTAAGGAACCCTCCGTTCTCCAGTGAGTCGTGATTGAATCCAGTTGACGACATCTGGCCTTACAGGTGGCTCAGGGATTGCAGGCCTCAGGCTGAGATCTGATCTAATGGTTAGCTTTGTACCACAAAGACGGTTCACGAACTTACCGGAATCATGACGTTGGTCAACGTCTTCTTGTATACCCGCCTCGTATATAGCAATAAAGCTGGGCCACCTGAGCCATCGAACTATTTGACACATAATGACTCGGAGATCAGCACGGCCAGGAGATCTGAATTCTGGCGTCATGATATCAAGTTTTTCTTCCTCGAGAAGTAGATGCAAACCCATAAGCACATCAACGGCAACCTTACGGCGGCTCTCCATGCTTTTGCCAGGCGAGGTTGGCATATAACCAGCGGCTCCGAATGCCGTTTCGCCCAGTATAGAGGCCATATACTCTTTGGCCATAGATATATGTCTTGAAATGAAAGTTGTAGGTGGGGTTTCGTCTCCAGAATCATCCCCATCTTCATCCAGCGCCCACTGCCAACCTCCGTTCATCATCCAAGTTGGACACCCTAACGAATTCGAAGTCTCGGCTTTTTCTAAGTATCTCCAATCCTCCGAGTCTCTGATCGAGCCAAAAGAGCCCGAAGGGTGCCTTCTTCTGCGAGGAAGTTGTCGAGTTTTCGGGAAAGGCTTTGTGTCAGTCCGGCCGAGACTCAGAAACAAAGACAAAAGGAGTATGGTCATCGCAGACCATTCAATGTCGGCATTTGTCTCATCATGGCCTCCTATCCATTGCATACAGTGAAGCCAGCCAGCGAAGATGTGTTCACCAAGTGCATGAGGCAGGATGCTACGGCAAACGTCCAGGACTCTTCGAACGTGAGGTGAACGCGGCTCGAGCTGAATGCGGAGCTCATGAAGCCGACCTTCAGCATCGACCACATCAACAATGCCACCTTGTCGCGGATGCCGTACACCAACAATACTGCCATTACTGAGGTCAATAACCTCAGACTTTCTCTGAGTAACATCGCGGTCTACAACTCTGCCACGATATTGCAAACTCCTAGTGTTATCGACGAAGAGAAGTGAAAGCGATATTTTTGTAAGGACACTCCAAGGTGCCTGGGTACTTAGTTCGTGTCGGCCATCCATTGATTCCGACAGGATTAGAATCGCAGAATGGTCACCGTCCATTAGCTTGCAAGAGTCAACGACATTTTGAGCATGTCGTCTGTCAACAACAGTGGCTACGACGGTTGTACTGTCGGGTAAGTTCTTTTTCCCTTGCTTGGTGCCCATATTGGTGCCACGCTGAATTCCAAGCTCCAATGTGAGAAGTTGAAGACGTCTCTCGGTAGCATCCTGAATGCCAATGAGAAGTTGGCTTTGGTCATGACCGTCGATTGCAAACGGAGGGGCCACCAAGATGAAGACCTTGGTTTGGGTGCGGGCTGGCT